CTTGAGCTGCATAACAGCAACTCTGTCACCTTCACTCTTCACATCTGTGATTCACTGTCAAACTAGTCATGATGTTTGGCATACTCTTGCCAAAAGGTTTACTTCTCTTTCTCGATCTCACATCCATCAACTGAAGAACAAATTAAGTTACATTGCTAAGAAATGATCAACTATTGAAGAATATCTGAATAAATTCAAAGTCCTTGCGGATCAGCTTGCTTTGGCTTCATCATCTGTTGATGATGAGGATTTAGTACTTTAGTTCTGAATGGATTACTTGAGGAATATAATGCTTTCAAAACTATTATAAAAGCTAGATCAGATCCTATTGTTGTAGATCAACTCTGCTTTCTTCTGTGTTTTGAATCTATTCATATAGAGTCTTCTCTTAAGCATTAACAAGCTTCAGAAATACCAGGATCTGCTGCCTATATTGCTCCTCGAGGACATTATTCTAATGAAGGAAGTTAGAAAGGCTATTATAGGGGCAGAGGCAGTTTCAGAGGAAGGGATGGAGGTAGGTTTCGAGGTCAGATGACTAGTCACTATCAGAGAGGAGGATCAAATCAGTTTCAAAAAAGCATATATAACTCTGCACACACCACAAGACCTAGCTCTAGCTCTGTAAACAGCACAGTTAATGCTTCTTTAATCTGCCAAATCTGTGGAAAGGCAAACCACACTGCTCTAGACTGTTGGCACAGGTTGGATGCTACTTTTCAGAGCTCTCAGACTTCCTCTTTATCCTTCAATTCCTCTCCAGGTCAAAGCCAAGCTTATGTAGCATCTGCTTATGCACCCTCAATCTCTTCACCCTCTTCATCTGAAACCAACTAGTTTCTTGACTCTAGAGCCACTAACCACATGACAAATGATTTACGTAATCTCTCTCTTTATCAACCATATCGAGGTCAAGATCAAGTGGCTATTGTTGATGGTTTTACTCTTCCCATTGCTCATACTAGTAAAGGACTCCTTCCTACACCTTCTTTTCCTTTTCATCTTACCAAACTGCTGCATGTGCCTACTCTTTCTTCAAATTTACTCTCAGTCCATCAGTTAACCAAGGATAATCATTGTACTATTACTTTTGATAAAGTTTTCTTTCTTGTTCAGGACAAGAATACTCAGAATATTCTATATAAAGGTTGCTACACCAATGGCCTTTATCCACTCATCTCTTCATCCTCTGCTAGTTCCTCTGTTCCTTCATCAATCTGTCTTTCATGTTCTGCTACTTCAGCTGCCTTCTTTTCACCTGATTGGCATTCTCGACTTGGTCATCCATCTTCCAAGTCGACTTACTTGTCCTCATACACCATCTCAAAATGGTGCTGCTGAAAGAAAACACAGGCATCTCATAGAGACTACTGTGACTCTTATGCATCAATCTTCTCTAGCCTACTGGTTTGATGCACTTGCCACTGCTGTCTTTCTTGTTAATAGACATCCCACACTCAAACTTCAAAATCTCACTCCTTATGAAGTCTTGTTCAAACAAAAACCTGATTACACTTTCTTGAGATCCTTTGGTTGTAGATGCTATCCATGGCTTAAACCTTATACTTCTCATAAACTTCAAACCAAATCTGTGCCTTGTGTATTTCTTGGTTATCAACCTTCTATTAAAGGTTATAGGTGCCTTGATCCTGCCAAAGGAAGAGTCTATATCTCTAGACATGTGGTCTTTGATGAATCATTTTTTCCTTTTCAGTCTTCTCATTCTTCTGTTTCTACATCATTTTCAATATCACAGTTGCTGAATTTCTTTTGGTCTCCCTTAGACCAGTCCAGTTCTTCCTTTCCAACACATGTTTCTCCTGCAGCACCTCAACATACACATTCTTCTCAAGCTTCACCAGCTGCATCACCTCAGCATACACATTCTTCTCCAGCTTCACCAACTGATATCCCTTAGTCAGCAGCTTAGCCACCTATTTTCTCTTTTACTGCTACCTTTCCCTCAGTCTAGGCAGCTTCTTCTTCTGCTACTGAATCTCACTCAGAAGCTCAACCAGTCTCTTCCTTTTCTGTTCCTCTTCTATCCACAATTCCATCTGATCAGATTGTTATTTCCAAAATTTATATTGATCTTCCCTGTCTTACTTCCAATACTCATCCCATGATTACCAGATCCAAATCAAATTTTCCTCACTCTTCTCTCACTGCTTGTCTTTCTTCTTCCTCTCCTCAGTCTGAACCACAAACTTATCAACAAGCAGCTTCTTCCTCTGTTTGGCAGACTGCTATGCTTGAAGTATTTCAAGCATTACAAAAACAAGGCACTTGGTCTTTAGTTGATCTTCCACCTGGAAAACAAGCAATCGACTGCAAATGGGTTTATAGAATCAAGAAAAATTCATATGGATCTATAGCCAGATATAAGGCAAGGTTAGTTGCCAAGGGTTTTCTTCAAACAGAAGGGGTGGACTATCATGAGACTTTTAGTCCTGTGGCTAAGCAACCGACTATCAGAATTCTGTTATGTTTTGCTTTACATTTTGATTGGCCCATCAAGCAGCTTGACATATCTAATGCATTTCTCCATGGTGCTCTTGAAGAAGAAGTTTATATGGTCCAACCTCAAGGTTTTGTTCAACCTAATCAATCTCAGCTTGTTTGCAAGTTACACAAGGCCCTCTATGGTTTAAAGCAAGCTCCTAGCGCTTGGTTCTCCACCTTCTCCAACTTTCTTCTCACTCATAAATTTGTTTAAAGCCATTGTGACTCTTCTCTTTTTATTAAGAAAACTTCTACTGCTATTACCATTCTTCTCATCTATGTAGATGACATTCTTCTCATAGGAAGTGATCCTCCCTATATTAACTCTCTCATTACTCATATACATACAACCTTTTCAATAAAGGAGCTTGGCCTTGTCAATTATTTCTTGGGTATTTCTGTCACCAAAACTGCTTCTGGTTATGTTCTTTCTCAGCAAAAATATGCCTAAGATTTGTTGACCAAGGCTGGTATGAGTGACTGCAAATCTTACTTTAGAAGTATATTTCAATTTATAATTTTGTTAATACAAAAAAAGAAAGAAATGAGAACATTATTATATATCACGAGATTAATTTATAAACATGTTTAAAAAAAAAATCAACATGTTTAAAAAAATATTTTAAAAAATAAATAAAAATATGTTATATATTCTTTTCCTTTTAAATATTGAAAGTATATTTCCTTTTATTATTTTGCTAATACCAAAAAAATAAAAGAAAATAATTATATGTAACGGAATTAATTTATGCATGTTTAAAAAAAACTCAACATGTTTAAAAAAAATAAAAGAAAGAAATGTTATATATTTAAGAGATCAATTTCATCATTTAATTAGTTAATTCAAAGACTGGCTTAATCAGTCAATTTTCATCGCACACCCCATAGAATAGAGTTATCCCATATATAAGAACTATTAATCTGACCAGACTATTAATCTGATTTTCATTTTTCTATCCAAACAATAAATTAATTATACCATTAGACATCAAGTCCATTCACGGGCCAAATCACACCATCTTATGTACTATAGGGAAATCATATTCCATTGAAGAAGGCCCCATTTATTCCATAATTGCCGGAACTTTCCAGGAGTGAGTCTCCCAAAATCATTGCTTGGTGAGTCTGTTAGACAAACTTGTAACAATCTAATATTTAATAATTTCTTTACATTTATCAAAAGTCTAAAACAATAATTCATTAGTGGTAAGATTTCAGACATTTTACAATTGGAAATTCTGAAGTAGCAATTGTTTTATGACCCAGTCAGAAAATCTCTTATATAAGCACCATAATTAATTGTAGTCATGGTCAATCTACTCATGCTTTATGATCATAATTGAGAGTTTATTTTCCTGGTTGGCTGAATGAACCAATGTCTTGTATCAATGTATTGTCGAAATGTTAAATCATATTTATAATTTTATATTTAAATTTGTTCATAAATAATAGTATGCGATATATCACTAAAACCATTTTATTAAATTTTATTTATTTCTTATGTAATTTCTCATGTTATGGATTGCTTGGTTAGAGTTTTCTAAAAATACTTTTCAGAAAATTCTACTTTTTTATTTTTTGTATTTTTTTGTTTTTACTGAATTTTTTTAATATTTTAAGTAATTTTTTAATTTTTAAACATACCTAACATAAATACCTAAAAAGTAAAAAAAATTATGAAAAAACCTTTTAAAAATTCACTAAATACCAAAAATATAAAAAAAATATATATATATGAGAATTCAGTACATTTTTTGTATTTTTATGTATTTATTAATTTTTTATAATTTTTTTTCATAATTTTTTTACTTTTTAGATACATCTAAGTAAGGTGCATATAAAAAAGTAAAAAAAAATGTTTAAAATTTTAAAAATATTCACTAAAAACAAAAAAAAATAAAAAAAATTCAGTTTTCAAAAAATTTAATCCAAAAAAATCAAACCAAATACACTGAATATTTTTTGTATTAGAATTTTTTTTAATGATGTGTTTGGATCATAAAATATATTTAGATATTTAGTAAGGGAAAAGAAAATGAGAAATTTCATTCATATTGCCTCACATTTTCCTTTTTATTTTTAAATCTTTACCCAAATTGATAATTTAAATACAATCTTAAAAGTCATCAAAATGGATTTGATCTCCTAAAATTTGAAGACCATGGAACCTCAATTTTAAAACTCTTTCACATGAATTTAACATGAATTTACCTTATTATGTAGCTACGCAGTAAAATAAATTGATAAAATATCATTTGAAGACAAATATTATTATTTTCCACTCAAAATTTACAAACAGTTATATTCCAAAACAATTTAGACTGCCCAAAAAAATTCAGGACAGTTGAAAAAAAAAAGAAAAGAAAAGAAAAGAAAAGCATACTCAAATGCATATATAAAAAAAAAGAAAAAAAAGAAAAAAGGAGGCACCACTGAAAAAAAATTATATTCCAAAAATAAAATTAAAAAAGAAAAGAAAAGAAAAGAAAAAGGCCATGTCATGCCATTGCGGAGGGAACGGTTCTTTGGACCCGGTCCAAGCCAAGCCATTCTCCTCCATATGGCAACATTAACAACTGACTCGGTCTCAAAACTCGTTCTCCACCCCGAGTCGACTCACTCCCCTCCTCTCTCCTCGGTCCCCCCAACCTCACCAGCCACCTCTCCCTTTCTCTCTCCTCCTCCACCACCCTATCAGCCTTCACCTTCGTCTCTCCCACCAAATCCCAAAACGCATCGTTTCGTTTCCTATTCACAAACACCACTACCAATCTCTCTCTACACTCCTCCAATCTCTTCAAACACCGAGTCAACTCGACCAACTCAGCAGAACTCAACCCACCAATCCTCTCCCCGCACTCACCGAGTCTAATCACAATCTGTTGCTGAGTCGACCTGTAATCTTCGCCGACCAAATTGACGACCTCGTACACCAAATCGTACTGTTGAAAATGCAACGAATCTGGAGCTCTACATATTTCCTCAACCAAACCCACCAAAACATCAACATCTCTGATCAAATCCGAGTTCAGCAACGTTGTTGTTACAGTGACTTTCGTCGAAGAAGGATCAGATATATAAACACCCAAAACCCGAGAAGTGATTAAATTACGTTCCAAAACACCAGCGTACCATCGAACCCAGTTCGACAACTCCCAGGTTTCGACATCACGGCCGTCGCGGAAAACCGAGAGGTTGAGGAAATTGCGGCCGCCGGAGGAGGGGTAGAAGGAGAGCTGGTCTTTAAGGATGAAGGAGCCTTGGGAGATGATGTGGTGGAGAGTGATGAGACATTTGAGGGCGACGAAGGTGTCGGGGGTGGAGTGGAGGCGGTCCATGACGGCGGCGACGGTGGCGCAGGCGGTGGGGCGAGTGTCGTTGCCGAGGGAGAGCAAGGCGGCGATGCGGTGGTCGGGAGGAGGAGAAGAGGGGGAGTGGGTGGTGGCGCGGAGGACTGCGACGGTGATGGGTTTGATTGAGAGAGTTGCTTTGATTAGTGATGCTTTGTCTTTGAGGATGCCGAGGAGGTCTCTCATTAGTTTGTTTTGTCGACCCATTTGGTGAGGTGAGATCGAATGATGGGGTTCAGGGAATGAATGAAAGATTTAGCGGAGATCAAGTATGGCCATGGAATTGAAGACCGTTGATGATGGAGTTTTATAGTTTGGAACATAAAAAGGCGTGCGTGTTTTTAAGGTGGACCACAGATCGTACACGGAACCTGTTTGACAAAATTTTACATGGACTTCGAGAAAAAGCCAGGAAAGTGCTAACGGCCGTTGTTAATGTCAGCCAAATTATTCTGCACATTTCCTTTTCGAGTAAACTTCTCATTATTTTATGATCGTATTGGAAGATATCATTACATTATATAAGGATGATGAGAATTTATTAATATTTTAAATTTAGAAATAATTATTGTAAATTTTTGAATAATAGAATGGACATCTTTTATTATAATTTTAGAATGGAAATGATCCCAATTCACTACATATCTATACATTTGCTTTACAAATTTACTCATAATGAATTGGTATAGGAATTGGACTTACAATCCTTGAGAGTTTATCAAATTAAAAAGGGACACCTATGCTGACATATCATTTGAATGGAATAGAATTGTGGGAGTTTTTTGAGATCTCAAATATTTTTCTTCTTATATTTGAAAAAAAATATACTAAAGAGTTTTTTTTGTGAGTTACATTAGAATGTTACATACACTAAGGAATTTTTTTAGTATATTATATTGGAGTGTTACGTTTGAAAAGAATATTCTAAATTTTTTTTTTTAGAGTGTTATATTAGAGTGTGATAGTTTGAAATTACGTTTATCAAGTTTTTAAACTCCTTTTGAAATATTTGAAAAATCACATACCATTTTGTAATGTTTGAAGGATTTTATATTTCAAGTTATTTTTGTATTCATTTTAAAATGTTTGAAAAATCTCACATTTCAAATAAAAAAGATTCTCATATAAAAGTTCATCTCAAATTTGATTTTCATATATTATGTATCTTACCTTTCTAGTGCCAAAAAAAAAAAATAAATAAAAGAAAAAGAAAAAGAAGAAAGAATCATAATAAAAATAAGGGTATAACCGTAAACCCAAATTCTAAATAATATATTGAATCCACTTTTCTAAAATAAATGAGACTAATTGATCTATAAGAAAAATTCTTTGAACTAAACGAATTATCTTTCTTCAAGATGAGATTTATAGATAAATTTTTCTTTTAGAAAAACAAAAACACTTCTAAATAAAACTTATCAAACACATTATTAAAAATAATAAAAAAAGTAACAAAATTTTTTTTTAAAAAAACAAGTTTTTACTTATATACATATTTTACTGTTAGTTATAACCCATTATTATGCTAATTATGAGATTATTTAGTTAGGGAAACTTGTTAATATTGGGAAGGTAAGAAAAAGTGTATTGAATTTAATAATAAATGTCTCAAGATTGCTTATCTGCGTATCCATTTTTTTCACCTCAAAAGAAAAAAAATAAAAATAAAAGTATTGGGATTGATATATCTTTTGTCCTTTTCTTATACTATAGGGGTACTTGTTAACAAAATCATTTTAGTTATAATTAAAAGGTTTTTAGTTATACTTTATATGGTAATTGATTATGATTCAATTTTTTTTAAGTCATGACCCTAGAAAAGATTCAGTTATAACATTTATGATAATTAATCTCACAAATATCATAACTTTTATATAATACACACCTAATATAACCTGTATGTCAGGAATTATGTAAAAAAAATTATATTAAAAAACATAAAAGATATAGGAAAAAGATTGAGGCCTCCAATTTGAGGCCTCGAATGTGGCTCAAATTTTTATTTATTTTTTTATTTTTTTCTTTGAAACTGTGTTGGTTTGGTTGTTTTTATTATTTTTATTTATTTATTTGTTGGATTGTGTTAGTTTGGTTGTTTTTATTTATTTATTTGTTTGTTAGGCTGTTGTAATTTTTTTTTTAAGGATGGCTATGTGTAGGGGTGAGTTTAGAGTTTAGTATTTTAGGTTTAGGTTTTTATTTCTTCCTAATCTTTCTGATTTGAAATAAAAATATAGTAAGAACTCGTACAAAACTGCATAGAATTAACAAATTTTAGCCAGCAATCTAACTGATTAGTCAATTTTATCACCTAATCAATTTAACCCAACTCACTCATCTTATCAAACCACATAAACTAAATTGTTGTTGATGTTTTTTTTTTTTCCTCCTATTTATTGGGCTATGTTGGTTTTTTTTTAAATTTAATTTAATTTAATTTTATTTGTTGGGCTATGTTGGTTTTTTTTTTTTTTTGGGAACTGACCCAAAGGTCCAAGCCCAATATATCATACCCCATTTAGGCCAAAAACAAATTGAATACTCCATTAAGTCCTCAAATTATCAATAAGACGAAAATACCCATAATATATCTTCCAATTTACACGCGCGCAACCATCACCCACGATCATCTCAGTCTGATCAGTACACTGTCACATCTCCGCCGCTCGAAATCGAATTCTCAGTCCTCCATCTCTCCTCCGTTCGACTCCATTCCCTCTGAAACCCTACCCTAACCACAAAACGAAACCGTTCATCTTCATCACCCACGATCATCTCAGTCTGATCAGTACACTGTTACATCTCCGCCGCTTGAAATCGCATTCTCAATCCTCCATCTCTCCTCCGTTCGACTCCATTCCCTTTAAAACCTTACCCTAACCACAAAACGATACCGTTCATCTTCAAACACAACACCAAGCTGTTCATATTCTTCAATCGGCGACTCTCAACAACACGAAGAACCATCACCACTCTAAAGAAATTTCATAGTTCCTGACTTCCGATTCACAGAAATGGGGAAAAAAAGTAACATCTCTCTTCATCTACTCATTATTTTTCATTCAAATTTATACATTATTCTTTCATATTTCGTATATACACATTTTACATACTTCAAAATGTATAAATCCTCTTTTATATATAATCCCCTGTTTTAAAACATTCTAGTCCCTTGTTTTTCAACATTCTAATCCACTGTTTTTACACATAAATCCCTATTTTTACACATTCAACACCTTATTCTTATTCTTGTTGTTCAATATTGGCTTTTCTTATTGTTATTGTTGAATACTTAATCTTCTCGTTGTTATTGTTGCTGTTTACAAAATACAATGGGCTGTTCTTATTGTTGATACTGTTTATAAAACTGCAACATCATACAGTTTCATTTCATCACTCTACAAGTAACATATCTAAATTTATTCAAACTGCAATGAAACTGCAAAATTACACAGTTTAATCACTACTCAAAACAAATAGGTAACTTATTATAAAGTACAAATCAAATTGTCAAATTATACAGTTTCGTAACTGTTACCAACAAATACATATAACTTCATATTAAACTGCATATAAAACTTCAAAATTATACAGTTTTGTCACTATATTACTCATACCCTGCTGTCGTTTTCATTTTTTCAAAAATAACTGTTAGAAGATATTGGAAGAAACAAACCCATATGCCCAAAAATCCAATCAGGGATTTAAGTATCTCCCCTTTTGAAAGTTCTTCTCCTGTATCCACTGAAATGCCACCAACATCTCCCCCTCCACAAAAAACACAACCACCACAACCAAAAATAACCAAACACCACAGACCCCACCAAAAAACCCACAAAACAACCACACTACCTACAAGAAAAAGCCCAAGAACTACACCGCAGACCCCACCCACACAACAAACACCAACCACACCTCCAACCACAACAAAAACAAACAAAAGAAAGCCAACAAAAAAACAAGAAGCTCCTCCAACCAAAAAAAGAAAGCTCCAAGAAAGCCAATCAACTCCCAAAACAAAAACCAAGGCATCAAAAGGGAAAAAAGCAGCAGTCCCTGCAAAGAGAGTCCAACAATTTAATTATCGTTTCAACATTGGAACAGTAATCAAATTGTTGAAGGGGGTCAAATTCACAAAATCCCAACAGATAGAGTTGAAAAAAATCCCCTTTTGGCCCATTATAAATGCTCTCTCCTCAACACAACTGAAGGCCTCTTGGTGCAGATGCTACAATTCCATTGTAGCAGAAATGACAACACTCTACAACAAAAGAAAAAGAGCATTTATACTTGGAAAAAAGGAAATGAAACTCAGAAAACAGTGATGTCAAGCTCATTTTTGATATCGACTATGGAGAAGACAACATCACCACCAAATCCTATGCAAGACCAAAGGATTTTGAGCCATTTTACAAACGAAGATGCAAATCAGTAAAGAGATTGGATGGCAAGTTTTTGACCAAAATGTTTCAACAAACAAAAAAAAGGAAAATCAACCAATGATCATCAAGATCTTGCAAGGGTCATCACCCTTTACTTGTGCTTAAAACTTCTCATGCCTACAACAGGCCATACACTCAGTTGGAGTTTCCTTAACTATGTTGACAATCTCAACAACATCAATAAGTACAATTGGGTTGAGGCAATAAAAGACACACTGATGAATTCAATGGCAAATGCAAACAACAACCCAAGGCATGTCACTGGATGCGTCATGTTACTCTTGGTAAACACATGACTCAACTACTTTACACAAAAATATCAGACATCCACATATTTCTAACTATCTAACATATTTCAATTTTTTTTACAGTACTGGTACTGTGAGCACAGTAAACTCCTCCAACCATCCAACAAAGAAGGCTTCCCAAGGCTTATAAAATGGAACCTTGGCAAAATGTACTCCAAGTGGAAACACATCAGCCTTGCTCACTTTGAAAAGTTATTCAAACTCTTCTATACTATCATAGCACAAATCTATTCAACACTCCTTTCACAGTCATTATAGTAAAAATCATGTTATGAAACTGTCAAATTCTTCAGTTTCAAACAACATATATTCAACACTTGACTCACATTATTCACAGTACAAATCATATTATGTAAACTGGGTAAGTTTGGCAGTTTCAAAAGCACACTTTTTTAACACACTCATGTTATGAAACTGGCAAAAGTTTGACAATTTA